TTGACTGATTTGCAGTGGCCCCTAGAGAAGGGTTCTGAAGCCCCTCTGGGCTCAGCAGGAAACAGTGCCCAGATGTATTCATGATGGACTGGAGAGGTGGAGGCGGACGGCCCCTGGGCAAGGTACCTGCCAATGCTCCGAAGCCCCACTGTCTTTTACAAATGAAAGAACTGATATTAGAGATAGGTAGTGATTTTCTAAAGTCAAATACAATATGGAAGATATGGAAAGAAAACTCACACCTCCTTTCCAGTCCCACTTTCTAAGTTTGCTTTTGTTCCCCCAAGCTCTGCAGCCAACAGCGGCAACTGGAGGAAAATGAGAGCGGGAAGGACAAGTCCAATCGATTCTGGAGTTTTGTGCAAGAGGGGAAGGAATTTCTCTGTTCAGATGCAGGCTCCTTCTGGTAGCCGATTTTGACAGAGACTGCTGATGTACCCTGGAGGATTCCACGGAAATCGTTCATGCCTTCTTCTCTCATGAACTGCCTAGCAAATTGCTTATTTGCTCTGTGGTTTGAGAACATTTTATTTTGCTGCAGAGGTTCTTGTTTATCTCAGAAGCACTGAGCAGCTCTGATGAGCCAGAAAGGAACACGCCGATTCCACTGTGTTCATTGAGCACCCACGGGTGCTGGAGATGGCGCCAGGCTCTTTGAAAACTCTCCTCTCATTTAAGCCTCCTAAAACACCCTGGAGTGGACATTGTTCTCTCTCTTAAAGAAATTAAAGTTGGAGAAGTTACAAAACTTGCCGAAAGTCCTATAGCAAATGGTGGCATCAGGAATCAAATCCAGCTTCATCCATCTCCATAGACTAAACTATTCCATTTCGATTGCAGGAAAGTTGCCTTTCTTTTCCTTAAGAAAAAAATCAGGTATGGCTGGTGGAGGGGTGAGTCACTGAGAATCTACAGCGAGCCAGCCTCCAATAGGTATTTGCATATATTGTTCAGAACATTCTATTCCCTCCAGGCTTCTTGTTCCCTGTGTTAGAAGTAAAGTAACAGAGACTAAAAAGAGGCCCGGTATCTTGCATCGAGCTGCACCTGCTGAAAAGTGATGGAGTCAGCTTCAACCCGAGTCCCCTGGGTCCAAACCACCATGTTCTTTTCACTGCCTGACACTGCACAGCAGAGATTTCAAGCATTGTCTACAGGAAAATATGTCATTTGGGTCTCAATTATTCCTGATATGCCTCTTTGGGGGGAGTAGACATTCGCTGTTTTGCCTGCCTAGGAATTATTATTATTTTTTAATCTGGTAAGAGTTTTTTGACTTCCCTTTAAGACGGATGTGGGGTACTTCTCTGCTCTTGGGTTCAGGCTCAGTGAGACCATCAGTCAGGTTTTCCTGCCCTCCCTTGTCCCAGGTATGGACATGTGACCCAAGTTCTGCAATTTGTCTGTCTCTCTCCCTAGAGTTTGAAGTTTAAGTGGAGAGGCTAAAGAATGAGAGAGAGCTGGAGCGAAAGCTTCCTAATTAGAAAGTCCAAAGAGACTACCCCCATGGGACCACGTGCTGCAACGAATGTCTGTTGTCCCAACACAACTGCTAACAGCACTCCCCCTCCCTCTCCAAAGTGAAAGGTTGAGGTGATAAACTGCATAGTCACTCTGCCATCCCAGTTCCCACAGCCAGATGCCTTCTGATGTCTGGACATCCCCTTCGATTATGTCAGCTGTCTCATGCCTCTCCAATAAATTATTTTTGCAAAAGGGAATCAACTCTGTGTCTTGCTTGCAATAATAACAAAGGCTTGCACTGTGTCTCTGAAATGATTCTCCAATACGAACTCGTGTGGAAGAGGCCCTTAATCATCAGGTAGCTAGGGTTTTAACCAGTAACACTCAGCCTCCTTTTCTAACAGTGCCCATGTGGGCTTGTGGACAGATGTCCAGAGGAGCGTGGACAGAAGTCATTCTTGAAAGCATGACTTCCCTTCACCTGGGTTGACCCAGTTCCCGCCATCACTCAGCACAGAAATAACCAACCCTGAGGCTTCTCGTGGTGCCATTCTTTGAAAGGATCAGCCAGGCTTAGCTGACGAAAATGAATTGCGTTCGTTTTGGTGAGATGGGGGTTTGTCCTCACTGGAACTGATGTCTATCTAGATTTGATTTTGCTTTCCCAGTTTCTGATGCTTACCCAGTCTGTGGATTTGCCGAATGCTTTATACACTGCCCTAGTATATCAAACCAAGGAACAATTACCACTGCAGTGAGACAGGACAATAGAGGGCTGCCTAACTGCCCCAAAGCAAGCACAAAGCCTTATAAAGGGATGCGGGGGGTGGGGGTCCTCTCTATAGCCTTGGAGGAAGCATGAAGACAACATCTCGTAAGGATGGGGGCTTTCTTGCATGTGTGATATATGCTTTGAACCAGCAACCAATGTTTGGCGCTCTTTTTCTCATTGACAAAATAGAAGGAGGTAGGAACTAATGGACCAATGTGGAAATAATGCAGTTCCAATGTTCCTAAGGACTTGCTTACAAGTTTTGGCTTCCCATCCTGCAACGAAGGCTTCTGTTGTTTTAGAAGTCTCTCCACCTGTTTCAACCAGGATCCCAACAGAAACAGCCCACACACAGACTAGGATAATTCTAGTTGAGCTTATTTACAAGACAACTATAACAACGTTGTGGGCAAAGTATAGTGGAACCACAAGGGACAGTGATGGGGCTCAGGGCCAACAGCACGAGAGCTTTTATTACCTGTAAGCTCAAGGAAACAGGGGGATGAAAACTAGGAGAGTGATCCCCGCAGAAGCAGCCGAGAAGCCATGACTTTCTGTTGAGAGACACAGTCAGCCAGAGGCTATCTCATAGGGATGGAACCAGACAGATAAACATGCTGGCTGCACTCTCTCTCCCCTACAGCCCTCTCCCATGGGACTCACTGGCCAAATTCTGAAGAAGTTCAAAGGCATTAGATCCTTTGATATGCAACCCAATAGGGCAGAGATCAGTATGGAGAACGGTAGCTTGTAACTAGAGAGAGAAACAGGAGATATTCAGCCCAGGACCCAAATAAAGAACGGGGAAAACTATTATAATTAATCACTAGCTATGAATCAGTATTTTTTTAAGTCAATTGTATTTCTGTATACCAGCAATGAGCAATCAAAAACTAAATGGAGGCGGCATATATAATAACTAAACAACTTCAAATACATAGAAATAAATCTAGTTAAAAATGGATGAGAACTTAGCACACAAAACTATAAAATATTATTGAGATGAACTGAAGAAGACCCAAAAGAATGGAGGGGTATACAGTTGACCCTTAAACAACTCAGGGGTTAGGGGTGCCAACCTCCTGCACAGTGACAATCCCTGTGTAAATTTACAGTGGTCCCTCCGTATCCACAGTTCTGCATCCATGGATTCAGCCAACCACAGATCATGTAGTACTATAACACATATTTACTGAGAAAAATCCACATATAAGTGGACTTCTGCAGTTCAAACCCATGTTGGTCAAGGGTCAACTGTGTCATGTTCAAGGTTTGAAAGAATTAATATCATTAAGCCAATATTGTATTATCCACAGTTGATCTATGGATTTCATGCTATTCTAATCAGAATTCCAAAAATTTTTAATGGAAATTTCAAGCTGATTCTCCCTTTTACATGGAAATGCAAAGAGACAAAAAATAGTCAAGACAGTCTTAAAGAGGAAGAGTGAAGTTGGAGGATTTACACTACCCAATATAAATGCTTCTTATAAAGCCACATGAATGAAGACAGTGTGGCATTGGTGCAAAGGGCAGACAATATATCACTGGACCAGAATAGTGTCCAGAAATAGACCCAGTCAAATAAGGACACTTCATTTATGACACAGGTGACACTGCAGAGGAGTGAGTCATGGACGGTTTTTTCAATAAATAGTGCTGCATTCACTGAAATTCATATGGAAAAAAAAGTTCTAATTTTCTAATAATAAACAAAAAGCTTCTAATTAACTCAAAAGGGATCATGGACCTAAACGTAAAAATGCAAAATTATAAAACTTCTAGAGGAAGCATGGGAAAAAATCTGCATCACCTTGGGCTTAGTGATGAGTTTCCAGATACAACACCAAAAATTATTGTAAAATTGAAAAGTTAACTTTATTAGGAAAGAAAAATGGATACACTGGACTTTATTAAAATTGAAAAGTTTTGCTCTGTGAAAGACAATATTAAGAGAACAAAAAGAGAAGTTGGAGAAAATAATGAAAATCACGTATCTGATAAAGGACTTATATGCAGTACATGGTACAACTTATACTCCAGATCTCCCTACAGGATCAGGCTAAGGGGTAGGCGTTTCATGAATCCACATCCTTGCTTAGCTTCTCTCTCTGACCCAGAACTTTCCCCACATTTCTTCCCTCGCCTCCTTATTGGTTTCTCCTAAGATTACCCCTTAATGAATTACTTATCCAATAATTCCTGTCTCTGGCTCAGCTTCTAGGAAACCTGACCTATGACAGGCCTCAAACTGGAAGCCACCTGTAATGATTAATTTCATGTATCAATTTGACTGGGCTAAGAGATGCCCAGGAAAGCTAGTAAAACTTACTTCTGGGTGCGTCTGTAAGCTGCCTCTAACAGTACTAGTGTTCGAATCGATAGACTGAGTAATGATTATCCTCACCAGCGTGGGTGGTCATCTTCAGTAAGTCAGAGACCTTAACAGAGCAAGAAGGACATCGGCACTCCTGGTTCTTGGACCTTCAGACTCGTAGGGAGACTTATACCACCAGCTCCTTGCCCCACGTCTCAGGCTTTGGGCTCAAATGGGGACTTATACCATTGGCTCCCCTGATTCTCTGGTCTTCAGATTTGAACTGAATTACACCACTGGCTTTCCTGGTTCTCCCTAAGTTACAGATAGCAGATCCTGGGACTTCTCAGCCTCCATAATCGGGTGAACTGATTCCTATAATAAATCCTCTCGTATCTCTCTCTCTCTCTCTCTCTCTCTCTCTATCTATCTATCTATCTCCTATCAGTTCTGTTTTTCTGGAGAACCCTGACTAACATACCCCTCAAATGTCCATTATAGAAAAGTGGATCAATAAATCATGATATGTCCATACAATGGGAAGCAAAAAACACCCATGCGGATGAGTGAATCGTTGCTACATGCAATCACTTAGATGAAGCTCACGATCATGTTATTTAGGTAAGAAACTGTACACATTACATAGATACTGTAGGATTACTTGTATGCAATAATTTTTAAACATAGAGTAGTATAACTAATCTATAGCATTAAAAGTGAGAATTGTGCCCACATCTGGGGAGGAGGGAGGATGTAACGGGACATAGTTAATAAGGATGTATGGGATTCCAGGGATGTTCTCTTTCTTGGTTTGGGCAGGGCTAGATGGGTGTGCGTGGAACTTAGGTAACCCTTGAGTTCTTGCTCAATGGAGAGGAAAACATTTTATATAGGTTCTAAAAAACACTCCATAACTAAGTGTCCTGGCATGACCACAAAAGACTATTCCCCCCTTACCATGGCAGCCTGCTGACTTGGGGCAGGATCAGAGTCCCTGATGCTAACTTGCTGAGAGGCCTTATCTTGTCATTGAGATCCCCAAATTTACAACTCGATGAGTTCAGCTTTCCAAGTAACCCATATAAAATTTCAAGAAAAATTCTGGAAAGTGGTTCCACAAAGAAAATAGTGGGGCAACCAAAAGAACAAAGGAAAAAACATTTTGAGCTGTGTAGAAAAATATATATCTGGTCATCTAAAGCTATAAAATTTCATTCTACTTTGACAGGAAAATGTCAGATGCCTATCGGGGAATGAGAAGAGGAGAAAGCTTGACGTTTTTCTGTACCTTTAGATCACTACAATTCTATTTCAATATCATCATTAATACTCGTCTCCCAACCACATTGCCTTGTGTAATATTTCTCGGCTGAAAAAAGCATGGCCCTTAGAATCAGACAGAACTGAATTGAATCCCAGCTTCGCCATTCTCCAGCTGTGTGTCCATGGACATCTGATTGAACAATGGGCATGACTACAGCTCTCTCCCTGCATGGCCGGGAGAATAAATGTGTTACTACTTAGTTCACCGTCCTCTGGATCCATAGGAATTACATCTGAGGAGTTTCAATCAAGGAATCACACCTAAGAAGCTTAATCTACATCTGGGCCTCTTTAGATGATGAGATTTTGGACTTGGAGTCTCAGTCCAAGATTGCATGAGACTTTGGGGGTCTTGGGAGACTCTGAGGGCATTCTGCACACATGAGAAGTGTGGTGTTTTGTAGCCAGGAGGCAAACTGTAGGAAATTATTAGCAAGAGGTCTACCAACTTTTCTCCCAGCCTGACTCCCTTCACCATGGGGAGTTGATGTCCCTTCCCCTTGGAATCTGAGCTGGCCTTGTGACTCATTTTGACCAGTAGAATGCAATGGAAGCCACGCTGTATAACTTTCAAGATTAGGTTTTCATAGGCCCTGAAGCTTCTGTCTCTGCTCTTTGGAGCTGTTTTGAACATCCCAGCCCCTGATGAGCTCTCAGCGGGATGCAGCCACACACCCCCCATAATGAGACAGGGGGGCCAAACTGAGTCCAGCCAAGTCATAAATTATGGGACGTAATAAACTGTAGTCTTAAGCCACTAAATTTTGGGGTCACTGGCTACATAGGAACAGATAACTAAACACCTTGTAGCTAAAGAGGGTGGGACTCTGTGATTGATAACCCCAGTGTAAACACACAAAACGTGGAGGGAGAGACATACCCTCAGAGGAAATAAAAGAGTTATGGCTACCATGTTCCACCCCTTGGCTGCTGTGTACAACTTATGCAATTCTTTCCATGTGTTCTAGAAGTATCTCCTTCTTAAAAAGAGAGCTCCATCCTACAAATGCAATCATACCCACTTCCTCCCCAAAGACAGACAACCCCAAAATACTTTCATTGACTGCAACCAGTTCCAAATCCATTTTCTGATCAAATAACTCTTAGTCCCATTCAGGTGTATTTTTCATGGATTATCAACACAGGGAATTTGTAATAATTTTAACTCCTCTTGACACACCCACTATACAATAGTAGAGAGAAAACAGGAAGAGAATAAGGTCAGGGTCGTCTCCACTTTGATTAAAAAGGGGGGGGGGGGCGGAAATGGCCTATACTGGCACAGCCATCCTGTCGGGCTGTGTAGTGAGAATCAATTGTTTCATCTGTTCAAGGTGCTTCCTGGTCAGCCATCCTGGCAAGGTCTGCTCTTTGAAAGGCTTTTTTGTGTCCACTGTTCTCCAGAACCACATCTGAGTCAGGTACCTGGGACAATTCTGTTCCCAGGCCTAGGATCACTTAGTAGCTCACTTCCTGTAACCCTCAGAGGCCTGGGGTTGTGTGGTTGCACAATGTGTTGTGCAATGTTGTCTGAGTTGCCAGGACTGGGCTTCCTCCTGCAGATAACGCCCCCTAAAAATCTCCGTCATCCACTGGTTGGTTCAATTTCTGGAAACGTCGCTGGCTGGTAACCAAAGACAAGAGCTTTTGAGTCAGAGTTCACAAATCTGGGTACACCCTTGAAGTTTCGGTTTCTTGTTAATGGGGCTCCAAGCTCTGCCCATTCCTGTAGTCCTCAGCTAAATGACTTCCACTTGGGTGACTGGTGGGTAGCCAGAGGTCATCTGTTCCCTGACCTCAGGCTGTAAAGGGAGTGCACAGAGAGGGTATTTCTGGAGGAGATAAAGGGTCAAGCTTCCCCAATTTTCCAACTCTTGCAGGACCATGGTCTTCTTTCCAGTTGTGTTTCACTAGCTTTATTGGGTTAAGGAATGGGGTTTTTGCAAATTCACAAGCCTCCTAAAATCTGATTCGCAGTGATCTTGGACAGCTGCCCAGAGGCAGAAAATACCTCTAAACAGCCTTGAAAGGATTGCTTTGGATGGAAGGTGATCCCTTGACTACAGTATGATGTGAAGGTTGTGAGAGAAAGCAAACACTTACTGTTAAGTCCTCTAAACGCCTGTCCTCAGAAGGTTTGGGGTCGGAGGTTTAAGATACACGAATTAACAATTTAACTGACTGCTCTGACACTACTGCAGAAGAGGGGCTGCCTGCTTCCCAGATGCAACAGAGGACTTCTCATACCTTACACCCCACCTGGCCAGGTAAACCTGTATTACAGGGCCTGTCACTTCCAAGAGCTAATTCTGCAGGTGGAACTCTTTCAAAAGAACTCAACTAAATGTAAATTAAGTTAGGAAGGAAGAAAAGAAGGAAAGGAGGGAGGGGGAGGGAGGGAGGGAAGGAAGAAGGAAGGAAGGAAATATAGGATTAAAGTAGAAGAAAACCCAGGATAGAAACCTGCTCAGGCCATGTCCAGAACCAGGGGTGCAGGTGATCTCATTGGTCTCTGAGTTTATAACAACATCTCTCCTGTTCCCTGTGTGTTACCTTCATTCTCACCTGGGCTCTCTGTAAAAAAGACGCCTTCTGCAAATCCCAAACATCTATTTTCATAGTCCATAATCCCAGAAAACAAATGAAGACCATTTGTTTCCCAGCATCTATAGGTGGTTTTTCAGAGGAACCTTCTGAGGAGCCCTGCTTGGGTCTCCCACTGGCTCAAGGGTCCTGGTACAGACCGGCACCACGATCTTGTTCTCTCCTGACGGTCTGGAGAAGACAGGAGCTGGGAACAGACAGGCACACTGGGCAAGGAGGAGTGATTTTCCTGGGGACCTAGGGGTTTAGGCAGAAAAAATAAATAAACACTATTAGACGGTGCCTAATATTTTTATTAAAGTGGGCAAAATGAGTTTACATTTTTAACCTGGTTTTATCTGGGATTTCCCCAGCTGCAGAGTGAAAAGAGACCCCCAGTAAGGACTTTCAATCTTCCCCGTGACCAGGATTTCGGGCCAGCTCTGGGAGTGAGGTGAGGGGCAGAGTCAGCCAGATGTCATAAGCGTGGGCCTCTCAGTTGCCTTACCTGCTGTGGTTTTCGCTTCCGGGTGCCTGGGATCCCGTGGCTGAGCACTGCCAATGGCCGGTGGAGGAACTCATCCCCTATGGAACTGGCAGCTTCCACAAAGCTATTAGGTCCCTCTGCAGCCCAGGGAAAGCCTCCACCCCACTGCGGTGAACTCCAGACCTAAAAGCAGAGCTGCTTCATGCTTCCAGCATCTCAAAGTCTTGGGGCACTAGTCCCCCCAATCCTAAAATCAGTCCAGAAGACACAGGGCTAGCCTGAGGGTCTGCTGACGGTCTCGGTGACAGACCCCAACTACATTCCACTCACGGCTCCTCTCCAACGCAGGACCTTTGCCCTAGAACCAAATGTGTGTGTTTATAGTTTCTCTTCTTTCAGGCCAAGCAGTTGCTCAATTATTCCTCAGACTCACGGGTAAATAGATCCCATGGGGACTCTCTGCTCCACCTGCCTTTCACCCTCTTATCTAATTTGTTTATAAGATGAGTGAATTCTCTCCAGACTTTACTCCAAAGGAAACTATTGCCTGTGGTCATTTTTAATTCCAGGGAATTCCTTGCGGGAGACTTTGTCTTGCCTTTCTGGAGCCTAGAATGTGTTCCAAAGACAGCAGTGATGTCAGTGGCCTGTGACTGGCCACGATGAAGTCAGAAGCAGCCAGCCCTGCCCAGCCTCAGATGTTCTTCCAAATTTCAAGTCGTGAAAAGAAAGTGCTGCTTTCTTACAAATACGTTTTCCCTGGGGTTCTATTTTTTTTTTTAAACCCACATGCATCATGCTGGAAATTTGAAAAATACACATTCTGTCAAGAAGAAATTTAAATCCCCCCAAAGCTTACAGTTAACCGCGGTTATCACATCCGGTGGGTTTCTGACTTAAAGTGGCTTGAAAAATAAGCAAATTTCTGGACAGGAAGTCAAGAGGAAATGTGAGCCCAGGCATGGGGTGATTAGTTTCTGCTCATTTCATAGTGATTTTCTGCCTTCCTTTCAATGCCTGTTTGCTCTCGGGGAAAAACCTTTCCCTTGGCAGCTAAAGCCACATGCTTCCTTGTTCACCTCCAGTGGCAGAGAGAGAAGAAACCCACCTCCATCCATCACATAATGGAATTTGGATGTGTTCATTCAGTTCTGGTGGGAAGGAAGAGGTAAATGGATGCAGCTCGGTAAACCACGCTTACTTTGCAAGAGTTCTCTGAGCTTTGAAGGATGATGTAGGTGAAGGTTGCACATTCTGGGGAGTTATTAACTATTAGACGTAACCATGAACACTTGCATTGCATCAGCGTTATCGCAGGGGCAGGATTCACTAATGTACCCTTTCCTGGTCCTAACCCAAGATTTGTTACAAGATATTGTTAAAGTTGGGTAAGAAGAACAGGTAAAATCTTAACAAGAGAGACTAGAAGAAAGGGGAGAGATCTCAGCCAAAGAGTCTGAGTCAATTTACATACCGATGAGTTTGGGAATAAAGAGAAGTGGAGAGAGGAGTGAAAAGCTAGATGGCCTGGAAGCTTAAAAGAGATTTGGGAATGGAGATTTTGGCCTGAAAGAGATTCTGGAGCCCCTGCAGAATCTGAATGCACAGGACTTGAAGGAAAAAGATTTGTGAAAAGCTAATGTGAATTACAAATTGGGTCCTGGCCAAAGTTCCTCAAAAGATACAAGGAAACTTTGAAATTGCTTTTTGAGAATGACATTTTCATGGCTGGCCTGGGCTTCTTTCTCTGTGACTATATGTAGGGGTTGGACTACCTGTGACACAGATTATACTCGGGTTATAGCATAATTTACACATAATCTCTCCTTTCCACCAGGGTGTAAGATCCTGGAAAGAAAAATGTAATTTTGTCTAATGGATAATGTTTAGCGCAGTGTCTGTCATAATGCAGGCACTCAGCTAGTCTTGAATTAGAGTGGAGGTGAAGGGAAGGGACGGTGACTTAGATTTATTTAATACCACAATATTTCAAATACGCTGTGCACAAAGTTGACAAGAGGAAAGTTCAGAGAGGTCAAGAGCCTTGCGCAAGTTTACCATCTTTGATCAAGGCAGCCAGGGTTCAAATTCAGATTTTTGTGACTGAGGTTCATTACCCCACGTAGACCAAAGGAAACAGGGGTCCTGAACTGGGAGTGGGGGAGAAGGAGTGCTGATGAGAGATCAGTAACTGTCTTTCAAGTTATGTGTTAAGTCCCACTGTGTTCCCAGGGTCTACTGGAGCGTATGACCCATCATGGGCTCTAAATAGACATCTATTCCATGAATCCCTTAATGAGTAAATGAATGAGATAAAGGCAGCCAGAGACCAAGGGGAGAAACAGAGAATGGGAAAGAAAAGGTAGCACAAGGAAAGAAGAATATGACAGGGAGACAACTGGGAAAGACAAGAAGAGGTACAGAGAATGGAGGACCCAGAGGTTGTCAGAAAAGAGAAATGCACCAGACAGAGGGGAGGAAGACGAAAGAGATGGGAACATTTAGAAATCTTACGGGAAAGCAGAGAGATCCAAGCTGAAGAGCTCAGGAAAGAAGTCCAGGAGAGAAGGAGGCTGAGACAAATCCTGAGCCACCGGGGGAACAAGTGGTGGAGATGGGGGTGCCTTCCCTGCCCGGGACATCATCCCAAACCCCATCAGGCAGGCATGGTGGGCAGTGTGCTCACATCTCAGGCAGGATCCATGCGTCTGTCTTGAAGTATTCAGTGTGAGAAGATGCTGGGGAAGCACATACACACTAAATAAGGGCAAAAGCACCACCAACGTAGTTGTCATGATTTTCCAGAAACAATGAATGCAGAGATGTCTATCTGCCCCCTATCACGTGCCTGAGTGTTCTCTCCACCTCCCTCTGCCCTTGCGCAGCTGGGCCTTCAAAGCCTGTTTCCAGGGTCCCCCCTCCACCTGTCCCCACCCTGCACTGCCATGTCTCCTGCTGCATAAAATGATCCTATTTGCTTTCACCAGCTGGGAGAGCAGTGTGTGATGCATGCAAACGGGGTGACGGGAGCATGCTGCACCTCAGCTGGAAGGATGGAGGACAAGCCTGCAGCTGTTGGTGGAAAGTAGCCTCAGAGAAGTAGGAGCGAAGGTTCCGGAAAGGCTGAGCTCCTGCAGAGGACGTGGTAGGCAGCTGAGTGGTGAGGATTGGCAATGCTGGGGCTACACACATCACTGCAACCAGCACCCTGATGTCTCACAGAAGGGCCACCCTCCTACTGGCAGCAGTGCTGGGTGGCCGGCATCACAGGCAGGGGGGGACCCATGACGGGAAGCCCACTCCAGCCTCTCAGAGCTGCCTGGCGAGGTTCCTCACCCAGGACCTCCAGGGGGTTCCTAAGGCACAGGCTGAGCCAGCAAACGATCCCGCCACCCGTTCTTCCAATGCTCACCTTGTTGTATGTGCTCCTTCTTCCAGTTATTCATTCATTCATTCATTCATCAAGGGGATGAGGGGAGAGGAAGGGAACTGGAGACAAGACAGAGGCCAGAGCACAAGGACCCAAGAGGTGCTTTTGCCAGGGATGGGGCGGGGGGTCCGGAGGGAAGGCAGCGGCTGGCTGCTCTTTGGGAGAGGGAGACCGGAGTGGTGGGCAGCGTCGGGGGCCTGGGGGCTCTGTCCTGGAAAGTAAAGACCACAGAGGGCACCAGTGCGGTTTCCCACAACTGAAAGAGGCATTTAATGGTTTTGTGTGGATCCCGGGAACAAAGAGTAGAGATTAGCGAGGGGGAGTTTAAAGCCCTGTAAAGAAGAGCTCTCGAAGATTAGCATGAGGGTAAGCTGCCTTGGGGCTCAGGAGCTCCCACCTGGGAGGCCTGCAGCCTGGGCCATGCAGATTCGGCAGCCTGCGTGGGGCTGTGAGTGTCCGCCAGGACCAGGGGAGATTTCTCTGCAACCTCGGGACAGGAGCTGCACAGCAGTTCGGGCCAACCCGGTTCCTGACCAATTACATGTGAAATTCTGTGAAAATCTTTTTTAGCTCAGCGTGTTTTGAGATTCACAAGAGTACATTCTATATGGTCCCATTTATAAGAAACTCCAGAATGACTAAACTATTCTATGATGACAGAAAGCAGATAACCAGTGGCCTGGGACAGGAGTCTGGAGAATTAAAGGCAAAGTGGCGGGAAATAAAAATTTTGGAAATGTTCTGTATTTTGACTGTGGTTTATACGATTGCCAAAACGAAAACGTAACACTTTATTGTATGTAAATTGTACCTCAACAAGGGTGATTTTTAAAACTAAAAAAAAAGAAAGAAAATTCTGTGAAAATCTTCATATGGCCTAATTAGTTACTCTTCTCCCCATTTATGTAAGAGGACACGGAAACTCAGGAAGACTAAGCGCCTTGTCCAAAGAGTGGTAGAACGGAATTCAGACAGGTGCCCACATGACTGTAACCGCAGCCCTATGTGTCTCCTTTATGATTTCCTATTCCTAATCTATAAAATGAGGAGAGCCCACTGGAAAAATCTAGAAAGAGACAGAGTGGAGAGAGACAGAAAACCAACATGGCTACAAACTAGCTGTGTCACTTTACATGAGTTACTTCACCTCTCTGATCTCCAGCTACAGTAGGGAAAACATGGAGACATACTACTACCTATCTCTAAGGATTCCTTGGAAATTAGGTGAGTTCACTCATGTAAATCACACAGAGCAGTGCCTGACTCACAGGCAATGCTCAGAAAGTGTTACTACTGTGACTGCTGTTGCTACTACCGCTATTTCTGTTATTACTGCTACTACTATTACTACTACTGCTGCTACTATTATTACTACTACAGCTCTGACTTCTACTAGTACTACTGCTACCACTATTGTTGCTGCTACTACTACTACTTCTACTCTTCTGCCACTGCTGCTACTAGTACTACTGCTGCTGTTACTACTGGTACCGTACTACCAGACACAGTGTCCCAGGAGCTACAAAGACACGCATTATATCTGGGAGCAGGTGGTCTTCTGCAGGGTCAGAGCATGCGATCTGGAGTCAGGCCTGAGTGCAAATGTCAACTCTACTGTAGCTCGCCCTATAGCAAGGTCTGAACTTCATTTGCTCCTCTGTACAGTGGGAAAGGTTGGCACATCCCTGCATTATCTAAGACTCAAAGGAGATAATTTGTGTAGAAGTCTTAGCCCTTTGCTCCTAGCAATGGGAATTGATTGGGAGGATGTGTTTATTGGGGAGGTGCAGATAAGAACGGTGATCGTAGATTCTCCTCAGTGCATACTTTTTGGATGAATTAAAAATGGTCCTTACACATGAGAAACTCCAGGGACACAGATGTGGAAGTAAATTGCACTCAGGAACCTTCTGGGTTA